ACAAACTTTATTCTAGGATGAAAAAAATTGAGTAATATTACTACTTCATCTTTGCTTATTTATTTAAAGTACTTGATTAATTTTTCTTCTATTCACGCTTGTTTCAATATCTTATTTTTGTTATGTGCTACACAAAATAGCCTTATCAAGGTCAGAGAACTGTTTTAATTTATAATTATTTTCATTACCTATACGGTGATGCGTAATATATTGTGAAACCTAACAAGAAAGAAAATCATTTAAAGATATTAATCTACCGACTGAGTAGCAAGAATAATTAATCTACGTCATTTTTTTATCAATAATTGTTGGAATCGGCGCAAAAGAAATAGACGTTATTTCCCAAGCCACTCAAATTTATTAATGGTAAATACTTCATCAAGCATCTTTTCCCCTCGACAGCGTCTATTTAAATTTTATAATTCTTAGAACCAATGTAATGGGTTTTGGTATTCCGGAAAATTTTACGTTGTGTTATTAACCATGTTATTTTTTTTTAGATCTCACGGAAACTTCTATGTGTAAAAAAATAAGTATATCACTCCAGGAAACAAATTAGTCGTGGGCCAAATTCTATCAAAATCCATTGAGCCAATTTTGCATGATGGAGTAGATAACAAACATCTATATAATTTAAGTAGGATTGCTACAACAGGTAATAAATATATTTAATTAATAGATGGTTAAAATGTACATACAAAAACTTTTGCTTTAGCTACTTAAATATTTAAAATCTTCTTCGTAATTGGGACTTTGAACTTTGTACAAATGCACTGTGGAAATAATTGAACTCACAAATTCGTAAGCTATGTAACATATTTAGGCAGGTAATGGTGTCGGTTTTGGCATGATTCACTAAACCTAAACTTAAATTTGACAACAGTGTAGGTATTCTTGTCATATTCTACAGGGAATGAAAAGGAGAGACTGATGTTAAAATTAGTTTTAAGTCCAGAGAATTCTGCCAGAATTGACACCATTATATAACGTGTATTGTAAGTAATGAACGTGCTTGATTTATTTTCAAAAGTGAAGTTCTTAAATTAAATTTTAAAGTTAAGGTTATAGTAGCCTCATTTATTTTTTACATTTTTATTTAGTAGTTTACATCCCTTTTATACAATATAGAAAAAATCTACGTCGAAAAAAATAGTTCCGTGTCTAAAAATAACCAGTTTGCACGGACGACAGCACGGCACGATACATGCATCTAAACCTACAAGCAAGATCAATGACCTTACAAGATACTGACATTTTGCGTATCTAACATCATCTAAATAGATATTATATATCATACATTTTGGTAAAAAAATAAATGTCGTACTAAAAAGTTGCATTCGGTGTAGAACGCGGCTTTGACATCTACGCACCCGCATTAAATCTCGTTGACATTGGCATATCATGTGAGTGAACATCGCGTTTGTTATATTTTTACGTCACAACCGCTCTTGTTGCGTTTCAAATTATTTGAATTTCCCACTAGTTTTTCGCAGTTTTATAAGAATTAATTTCTTGGTCGAAAAGAAGTGTTATTAACAAATAATGATGGAGAGACAACTTAAAAGTAATAAAGTTTATGCAAAAATAAAATGAGATTTATTTGAATTGCATGCATAGTCAATAGTCGATCATTTATCTAAGTGTACTTTAGCTGGAATATTACAATATGAGTATTTTCAAACTTAACTTAACTTTCAAACTTTTCCATACAGTGGACGCATATTCTAAAATAGAACGGAGAAAGAAATTAAACAAAAGCACTAATGTGGAAAAGTGCTTAAAGTCCTCTCCAATTCTAATTATAAACTTAAGCATACGCAACGCCCTAGTTGTAATAGCCTTGATATGCGTCTCAAACGTCAGTTTGCTAACAAGTGTCACACCCAAATCTCTGTCTGTTACTCTGTTTATCCTTTTACTATTGACATGATAGTCTAATTGCTTTAATTTTACGAGTAAAGGTTATAACACTACATTTATCCGGATTAAGATAGAGGCAATTCTTATGACAGTAATTGCAAAGATTGTCAAGATAACTCTGCAGCAAAGCAGTGACCTTTGTCATATCTAGCAGTATACATACAGCAACTTTCTTGTCATTTCTGTATTTTAGTGCGGTTTAGATATACTTGTATACTGTTAGTGATAGATCAACTGATCTAGTTTTTGAAGCCATTTTGGCTATCATCCAAATATTATATTTTTCCAAAAATGCGGAGTATTGATTATTATACATTGACTTTTCAAATATTTTTGAAAACGCTTGTAGTTGAGCGATTAGCCTATTATAATTTGGTGTCATGTTTTTTATGAACAGGTATTATTAATGCAATTTTCAGCGCGTCTGGAAAATATCATTCTCGGAAACTTTTATTAATAAAGCGAGTTAATGGCTCAGTTATTTAATTGGCAAATTGTTTTATAAGAATGAGAGGAATGTCGTCGATGCCACTACTACTTACTACGTATATTTTTTATTGATTTATTAATTTTGAATACTTCATCATAATTTAACGGACATTGAAGTAATGGACGGCTTTATGACAGATCGTCCACGTTCACTTTAGTATTTGAGGAATAACTAGCTGCCGAAAAATGTTTATTCAATATGTTTAATATTTTTACTGGGCACTCAATGACAGTATTATTATCTTTTAGGACTATATTTTTAAAGGCTTTGTTTTTTATTTTACCAGATTTTTCGTTGATGATTCGCCACATGGTCTTAGACTTATTTTCGAAGTTTTCAATCCTCTTATGTATTCTATTTTTTAATCATTTTATACTTCGTTTAAGTATACGAGTATAGAAATTAAAATGTTTTCTTATTATTCTGTCGTTTGTTTCGTTTAGGATTATCTTTAATATTCTTTTGTGTATACAAGATTTTTTTATGCGAACTGACAGCCAGCCCTTATTATTACTAAATTCAGTTTAACGGTATATTCTCAACAATCATACAAGTTTTTATTGCTGCTGACAATGTATTGTAATTTTAATTTATGTTTTTTGTTGTGTTAATTAATTTAGTACAAATTATTTTTGCATGTTTATTTTTAAATTATTTTAACTGTCTTTTGTTATTCGTCGATTTCTGTCTATAAAAAATATTTGTTTTTTTAATATTTTGTTTTAATTGAATATTGACAGCAGGTCAGATAGCCCATAACCATAGATTAAAATTTCCTCTAAAAATACTGTACAATCTGTGAAAGCTAAATCAATGCAGAAAAATGTAGTTTCTGTTATTGTTTTTGTTTTAAGTTGAAATACTGCATCAAAGTTAAGTTAAATAAGTCTTTGATATGTTTATTTTTATAATATTTCCTATATATATTGAAAAAGATGGAATGATGTGTTAAACAGGATTAAGCCTTAATTTGATATAAAAATGTTGGTGCAAAAGTTCTTACTTTGTATACAAAAAGATTATTACGTAATAAAATTAGTGAGTGTGAACAAAAATAGGTTAATCCCATTAATCCTGTTTACAATTTAGGGCAAAATTAGTTTGCATTCGTATTAAGGAGTTTCTTATACACTTCGGGATACTTTCTTAAATGGGAATGATTCCGTTATTAATGATTTTTGTATAACTTTTATCGTTTACGCAACGTGCGCAACGGAAGGTCCCTAATGTTTTTTTTTCTAAAAACAACGATTTTAAATACCCAATAATTTATCTATGCTCCCTTCATAAAGCTTTGAAAATGATGATACGAATATTTTCTTTGTTAATTATTCGTACTTGGGGTACAGTAGTTTTTGCACCAGAAAATATTGAAATCAACATTCCTTATATCGCAAATATCGTCATGTTCTATGCCTTACCTACTCTACGACATTAAAAATATGTTAATTTTACTTTAGACAGGGTCAAATCTAGAGATATGGAGGCCATTGGACAACGAAGGAGTGGACCCCCCCTCCCCCGGTTAGTGACCTGTCGAAATTTGCTAATATTTTATTTCTGTTGTGAGAACTATAACTCCATCTGTCTTAATTCCGGCCCTGACTTACGTAAAAGTTAACTTAAAATCCAACTATATTTAAGGTCGTACTTAAAACTTATTTTTTGTATGCACGTTTATTTTTACACAGCCATTGAGTGAAAATTTCAACTAGGTAACTACTGATGAGGTATCACACATCTCGTCATGGGACAGCTAAGACTTTATAATAGGGTTCTGCTGTCATTCTTTGGGTATGTAACTCAAAAAATAGTTTATTTTTTCATAAACATACTAGGATATTTGAGCATTATTTTGCCAACCTTCTATAATTTAAATTGACATTGCTGTCTGGCCAAATGTGGTATGAAAATCCATCTCTCTCGTGTTTTTCGGACAAATTTATTACACAGTAAACTCATATCTGTCTTGTAATTTATAAATGGAACGATCTAATAATCCGAATCATGACAACCAAGGAGATAACTTATCAAAGGTTTTATTTAAATTTTGAAGTGGCTCGTCAGTAGATACCTGTACCCTTAGCACGAACCAAAATCGAATTCATGACGTTTGGGAGTCCGAAATGTCATTATCAAATCTGTACTGATTTTTAGTTCTCGTTACGTACTTTGTGCCGCTGATGTTCAAGTTTCCATATAAAAATTGACATTGACATTATGGTTTGCAAACTATTCGAATTCGATACTTTTTCTGGTAATTAAAAATAAAAAAACAAATACTTTAACAGTTTAACGCGGCAAAAAATATTGTTGTTCGAATTGTGTTCGTAGAAAAGTATTGTATTTCCGCGCATTTTTTTTACAAACCTACTATAATAAGCCTTAACCAATACTAGAAATTGCCTCTTTTGGTTGCCGCTGCAGTAACGTACTTTGCAGCTCAGTATTTTGAAATTGTTCCCACGACGGGTGCCAAGCACTCCAATTCGAGTGTAAGTCTGCGCTACCCTATCTAGGTAGCTGTCATGATAACAGCTCAAAGGAGGTCAATTTTTATTTACAACGTTTATAAATAAAAACAACTTACTTGCGATATCACCGATCTAAATTTGCTGCCAGACGCTGTCACTGGTTCCAATTGCAATTTATGCACCATTTTCACTGTTTTATTATTAATATAAATATAAAAAAAAAACTATAATAGTAAACAAATAACTACTAAGGTTTTATAAAAACCAACAACTTTTTTGTCAACGCAACATTGTTTATTAATTATTGTATACGTTTTAATTTAGAAAGGAGGTGGACAGTCTAAAATAACATTTTTTTTTAAATTTGAAGTTTTAAAAAGCGCGGGCAACGAAATAGTTTATTGGCTGCGCGTTGTGTTAATTCGCAGCCTAGCGAACGCTTCGATGCGGTTACACCCAGCGAGGTAACCTGAACTACTGACTCGACGCGTTTAAAACTAAACTCGTGAAGTAACACTCTTACGCCTAATTCAAAGGTAGATATTTTTAATACTCAAGTACTTCAAAGTGTCATGTCAAATTAAAATGTATCATGTTCCAATAAGATACAATTCTTCTTATAGATATCATCTCGATAGCATAATTCAAATCATGTTATCTATAAGGAGAATTGCATCTTATTGGAATATATTTATTCTTTTATCAAGCGGTGTCATAAATCTACTTTGTTAAATTTTCTTAAGATCATTCGACTGGAAAGGGTATATATAATTTTGGTAATTCTGGAAGGTCTGTGGATTCGGCTCCCGCCAGGCTTGATAACCTGAGAAGACAGCGTAGTATTATTTATAGATATGAAGTGAAACATCTTTTCGAACGGAATCATCAATCTACAGGAATAATCCTATGGAAAAGATGAAACGGAAATGCGCCACGAGCGTCACACGACTATACAGGGCGTCCCACGGCTACCTCACACGGAGGTAAAGTATATTAAATATTGAAGTAAGGATATTTTACTGAAAGAAAACATCATTTTATTTTTAATAATAACTATATATAACATTCACAGATTTTTAAAAAATTGCCCGCTACAACTGGGAATCAAACTCGTGAAATTTCAAAAAAAAAAAATATACAACATATTTTATGATAATCATCGCAAGGGTTAATCATAAAGATAAATTTTTGCTCAATAACATAGCATTTTAAACGAAAGAAAAGTTATTTAATTTAACATTTTATTTAAAATTATTGAACACAAACTAATATAAAATCGGATACGCTTCAAAGTAAGTTGAAATGTTGAGTTCATCATCATTGACATTTATCATCCGCTGCTGTGGTTCTGTAAGCGCATATTAAAACGTCATAAATTTCTTAAAGTATCCACTAACCTTTGAAACACATATCGAGAAGGTACGTACCTCTATCAGGGTATCATTCGCGGTACCACCGCAAAGCTAATATGTCATTGTGGTACATTAAGTAAGCTTCCATTAAATCCATTTTATTTTGATACCCCATGGTAAGTAAATTAACAAAAAATTGGAAAAAAACGAAAATGAAACTTACAAAAAACAAAAGAAAACGCTTGAAAATTTATGTGTTCCATTTTTAAATAATTATTTTTACAAATTTCAGCCAATCGCATTGTAACTGTGAGTTCAAAAAGAAATGCATACGTACTACAGTTTGTGTATCACTTTATTATTTTTATCACGTAATAAGACATTCCTTTCATTTAAAATGCTATGTTATTTAGCAAAAAATAATCCTTATGTTTAACCCTTTCGATGGTTATCATAAAATAAGTTGTGTTTATTTTTTAGAAATTTCACGAGTTTGATTCCCAGTTGTAGCAGGCGATTTTTACAAAAACTGTGAATGCAGTTATAGTTAATATTAAAAATAAAACGATGTCGCCTTTTAGTGAAATATCCTATCTTCAATATTTAATATACTTTCCCTCCGTGTGAGGTAGCCGTGGGACGCCCTGTATATATTCAATCAATTCTTTATTGTCTCCATGGTTTAAAAGGTCTTAAAATATAAATACATTAGGTACAAACATGGAACCCCGTTGGGGCACTACAATATAATACAACAATTTACTTTAAAATAAATAAAATATGTGTGTGTGTGTGTGTGTGTGTGTAAGAGTAGTGTGCAGCTCTTCCGAACGAGCATGTGTTATGGTATACCCCTATTATGTTAATATCATATCTTTTGTTGACCAAACCTATGTCATTCCCTAATTGTTAATACCATATCTTTTGTTTATCAAACTTATTTGTAATGATCGTTAATGATCTTAAAACCATGTTATCTATCGTTCTCATGTTCTTAAGTTAAGATATCTATTATTTACTAAAACCACTCACATCCATTTTACTAATTACTTCATTTGCATTGTATCGAGTCATCTAAACTTTCCAGAGTCCTTTGAACGTTTGTATAGTCATTAAGGTAATAGTTTTGTTTAGCTTTCTCAGGACTCATTCATTATATAGCTTGATTTTTTTAAGTATTAGTTACCTAGTTATAATCTGAATCACATCGATGTAAGACATAATTCTCGTAGATTCAAATAAATATTTTATTTTATATTAAGTGAGTTACTTGCCATATAACACATGCAAATTTGGAGGATAACTCGGTGAAGGTTGAAACGCTACGAGGTGCGCTGTTCTATTCCCCTGTGCCTTATGCACCGCCTAATGTAAGGTTAGTTAAGAAAAGACTTCCACTTCAGATGCATGGTCTGTGCAGACTTTTTTTTTACTTTGAACAGCGTTGCTCGTAAGTATATTGTGATTGAAAAAGTGCTGTTTAAAATTTCATATGAGTATTTGTATTAAGTATTCATTTCATATACATATTACCTACTTCTATTGCCCTCAGTGAGGCCACATTTTGCATTGGTTGGATTTAAATATTATGTTAACCGAAAACAAAAGTGCGTGTGAATGAAACACGAGATGAACTCTAATCTATACTAATATTATAAGAGTAAAGATTTTTGTCTGTTTGTTTGTATTGAAAAAACTCCGAAACTACTACACCAATTTGAGAAATTCTTTCACATTTAGAATCCCACATTATTCATGATGAACATAAAGTGGTTGCAGGACTCCCATATCGCTATCCTACTGTAGAGTTATACAAAGTCTGGAACATTCCCTCTGTACGACAGATATTCGTTCTGAAAACCGTACTTCAACATAACCAGTTAACTTATGACCCCAAATTTGAACAGAGGAGACGCAAAACTCAAGTCTGCCCTTTGCCTACTCAGAAAACCTCCTTTGCACAAAACTTCTTCCAGTTACTACGCCCATTCCTCTACAACCGAATAAATCACATCCTCCATATTTATTCTCGTCATTAAACCCACTGCAAAACTATCGTCCGCGATTATCTATTGACACTTGACTATGATACTACTGAAAACCTATTATGCCCTCTAAGGTAAACCTGCAAATATGATGATATTCGTAGTTTTCACATTTGATTTTAATTTCGCCTCTGCAACTGTTGAAACTCATTCACACACGACTGCACATACACACACACATACACTACACTGCATACATATTACATACACAAAAAGAACGAAATCACACTAACACTTACTATCACACATATACATGCCGCTTTTGGTCATTATTTTTATTTTTAGAAACTGGATAATTTTCTAGCTTCCTATTAGATAAAATAGCTTTTCTTCGATTATTGTTATTGTTTGTTTGTCTTCTTCTATTCAATGCTGTTGAAACAACAATGTCTACATTTCAACTGTCCAAGGTATTGTATCATCCGTGGAAGTCTTGTTATCTGTGATTGGGCCTGGTGACCTGTAGCACAGGTCTCTATTGCTGAAACCTATTTCAGGCACAACTTCATCACAAATATATGAGCCACAACACTGTAATTGCTATACAAGACTAACTATGAATCTCTGTTGTGATGGAAAATAAATATATTTTTGGTTTTGTTTTTTTTTTAAACATATGCTATATATTTTGAAAAACAAAAATTGGGATCCGTATAAGAATTTCGAAAATGTAACCCAATATGTGAGAAAAAAAAACAGAAACCTTATATCGTTCACTATGTTTATAGTCATTGAGTTACTAACTCTCTGTATTGTATTAGGTTACCATGGAAACATTACTTTGATAATCCAAACTTTATAAAATACAGTTATTTGACATAAATACCATTTGTCTGTCTAGATATAACAGTTAAATCACATTAACTACTTCTTCATTTTAGAACATGCAATAATAAACGCGCCGGTACAAACTTGGCCTAATTAAACAAATAAATCACTACGTATTCAAGCCTTAGGAGCTCGATGACGCAGGTGGATAGCGTGTTCGGCCTACGATCGTGAAAGTTAAGCAACTTTCGCAATGGTCGATCATTGGATGGGTGACCAAAAGTTACTGTCTCAAGCTCCTCCCTGCTGAGGTAGGCACGTTAAGCCGTTGGTTCCGGCTGAATCTGCAGTCGTTAGCACCCCCCAATCTGCATTGAGTCCGGGTGGTGATTCATAGCCCAATCTCCATATTCTATCCATAGGGAAGGCCTGTGGGGATATTAATGGGCTGGTGATGATTCAAGGATATATTATGTGTACAAAACACTGCGTCACGAGATACGTTTATTAATAGAATAGATTTTTAATAGACCAATGGTAACGAGCTCAAACTTTTTTTTAATTGCAAAGCAATATTGCATTCGGTATTACGAGTCCTAATACAAAATATTCACTATTAGTTAGACATTTTTTTCACGGTTTTTATAATATTATGAGTTTAAACGGGTTATATGCACTGAATTCATTTATTTATTGACGTTTCGCATCCATTTCAGAAATGCATCTTCAGAATAATTAGGCACAAATAAATATACTCAAAATTAGAAAAAAAAACTTTATTAATTAAATTAGCTAATAAATTCAAGCATATAGACACTAAAGTTTTAAAAATCTGCAAGTGAAATATCCGAATGCTTAATAAAAGTCTTTCGAAGGTAGCTCGACAAAGTAAATAAAAAATCATTATTCAGAAGAATAAATAAATAAATTCAGCCCATATAACCCGTTATAACTGTTTTATTAATTGAGTGATGTGCGTAAAAACCTAAGAAACATATAATATGTATAATTAAAGCCTGAGAATAAAAACTGTTTTCTACACCGAA